CAGACTCTGGAAGGCCTTGTTCCCAGCACAGCCCCGACCCCAAGACCCAGCCCACAGCCTGAGGAGGTGCAACAGGACGGTGCTACTTGGGGTACGCTGGGCGTGGGGCGAGCTGTCAGGCTGGGTGTGGCCCACTGAGCAGTCTCATTAGCAGCCTCACGAGGGGACCTCTAATGAATTAGAAGGTGCTAATTCCTCTCAGAGGTGTTGCCAGCACCCGGGACAGGGACTCTCCTCTCTGGGAAGCTCTGAGAAGCCAGACCCGGGCATTGTGCTGAACTATCTGGTAGAGGGTACCGTGGGGGGCGGGGGGCTCCCAGCAAGGGGCTTTCACCAGGCCCTGCGGGATACCGGACAGGGAGGGGCAGGGGGTGGCCGAGTAGGATGCTGCACTGGGCAGGGGGGCCTCTGCCCTTTGGGGTGTCCTGAGTTTGAGCAGTGGGACGTCCTGAAACTACACAGAGATGCAGGGAGTTCTAGCAAGAGCACACAAGCACATCCTTGGCTCAGCCCCGTGGTACAAGCTGATGGGATGGTGAGTCCCACCTCCTAGGCTCGTTTCCCGTTAAAGGAGGTGGGGCCAGGGAAGCCTCACGGGGAGCAGGTGGGGGTCCCAGGAGAGGGAGGCCAGGGCAACACGGAGGCTGGCAAGGGTGAGGGAGATGTGGATCAGCCTGGTAGCCAGGGATAGAGCTGGGACCCTCTGTTTACGGGGATCATCTTAGATGGCGGAGAAATTAGCGCACCTGCCCCATCTCAAGGGGTAGGGGCTCAGTGCAGGGAGGAAAAGGTCTGAGCACTCAGGAGACATGATGGATAGAGGACATGATGGCAACTGGCACTGTCTGTGAGCGAGCGCTTTGTGTGTATTCCGTCACTTCCTCCTTGCGACCCCCTCCGAAGCAGGCCACCTGCACCATCCCGTTCTGCAGATGGGAAGTCTGAGGCTCAGAGAAGTGACGGTCACAGACACCTGGAAGGGATGGAATTAGGATTCACTGCAGGGCTGGAGGGAAGGCACCGTGGGCTCGTTGGGGGACCATCACCCTCCAGGTCCGAAGCATTGGAGGGAGGGAGGGCTCCAGGGAAGCCGGGAAAAGGCGTGTTATAGCATGCGGGAGGACACGGGGTGGTCGGGAAAGGCCTCCCACTGGGTGGAAACAAGCCCGGGGCTGAAGCCTGCCAGCCTGAGCCACCCCCACCCCAGACACGCCAGTTCCCAGGAGGAACTGGCCCGGGGCTTGGAGACAGCCAGGCGGTGCCATCAGAAGGTGCAACCTGGGCCCCTCCAGGGTACCTTTGTGCCAGGCATAAGAATGAGTGTGGGACAAGGGCCTTTTCCGAATTTCAGTAAAATAAATAGCCTGAAGAAGAACTGAGAAACAGAACCTGGCCTGGCCAGAACCTGGAGGACCCCTTTCACTACTGGAAATGGGTCCTTTGGGCCCTGGCTTAGCCTCTGGGAAGGAGGAGCAGGGGGAGGGCCGTGGGGTGAGAGGAGGGCCTGGGCCCTCCCTCCTCATTCCTCAGCAGCTAGTTCCCTCCCTGAGCAACTAGCAGGAGACCGAAGGCCCCAGTTGATTCCCAGAGATCTGGCTGGTGGTGTCAGTGACAGGGCCGGTGGCAGATGGCAAGTCCTGTTTGTTGTAGAAGAGCGGAAAATAATTAGCGTCAGGATGAGAGCTGGAGCCTCTGTGACAAATGGAGCCCTGAAGGGGCTCCTCAAGAGGCCTGGGAGCACAGCCTGTGGCTTCCCGGCCTGGCTCAGCCACTTCCTGAGTGACCTTGGGCAAGTTGCTTAACTTCTCTGGGCCTCGGCTCTCTCATCCTTAAAATGGGGTAAGACGAGCACTTACCTCATGGGCGTGTTAGAAAGATTACATTAAAGGAGGCAGTATTTGTGAACTTGCTGTCATATCTGGCACGTACCAAGTGCTATATAAGGTTTTAAAAAAAAATAAAATAAACAGGTGTTGGGGTACATGGGTGACTCAGTTAAGTGTCCAATTCTTGGTTTCGGCTCAGGTCATGATCTCAGGATCCTTGCTCAGCCGGGCGTCTGCTTCAGAGTCTCTGCTCTCCCTCCCCGCCACCTCCACCACTCACATGCTCTCTCTCTCTCTGAAATAAATAAATCTTTAAAACAAACAAGCAAGTGTTAAAATACTTGCTGGGACCACTTCTGGGCCCAGCCCAGGATGGCTAGCAGTCGAGGCCTCCAGCAGCGGGGGCTCCTCCTTTTCATTCTCCTCTCTGAGCCCTGTGCCCAGCCCCAGACCGCTTCTCCGTGGGAAGGGCTCTGGTCGGCAAACAGGTAGATGTGGCCTCAAAGCCTTACTTGGCCCCCGACTCCGTGGATTATGTAATCTCCCTGAGGCTCTGTCTCCCCTCAGGTGACAGAACAGTCGCACGCACCCGCAGAGCTGTAGTGTGGGGCAGAGGAGGCCATCCTGGTGGGGAGGGACGGGGAGGTGTTTGTTAGTCAAAGACTCTAGGGACAGAAGGGACGGGGCAGGGGCGTGCCCCTCCTGCTCCCCACCGCACTAGGCACGCCGTGTTAGTCCCAGGGCCCATCGTGTGCTGAAACCCAGCCCCAGCCCTGGGCAGGCTCGGCTCTGCCTTCTGCTCGGGCACAGCTGAGGCGTGAAAAGCAACAGCTTTTGGGCCCCTAACTTGGGTAGCACACACCCGGGCCCAGGCTGGTGGCGCACGCGGCCCCCAGCCCACGCGTGCTTTCTCTCTGTCACCTCCTTTGGCTTCTTCCCCCTTCCCATGCCTTCCAGAGCCCAGCCTCCATGTGGGGCCGCAGACATGGCCAGGAGAAGGGGCATGGGGGGCATGGAAGGACCGTGCAGGTCTCGGGGTCTGTGCATGGGAATAAAGAGTGGGACGGAAGGAGGAGGAGATTTTTTTTTCCTTTCAAGTACCTCAAGGAGACTGCTTGAAATCCCAACTCCTTGTTGTGGGATCTTTGGGCAAATGTTCCACGTCCCCGAGCCGTGGTTTCTTCATCTGTGAGGCTGGGGTAACAGCCTGGTGAAGCTGGAATGAGGCCACATTTACAGCGTTCACACTGTGCTGTCTCCCGGCCCCATAGCCCGTTCACCTCCAGACAGGCCGTGGGGCCCCCGTGGGCTCACGCTGCCACGTCTGCACGGTCGGTCGATACCCACTCTCCCACGCGGTGGTGGGACCGTGAGTCTGCAGCCACGCAGGGACCTGGAGACTGCTCTGTGGTTTCCAGGGCCCTGCACTTCACTCTGTGAGGGGGAGGTTTGAAGCCAGCTTGTGGGTTCAGAAGCGGGCATGTAGTCGAGGCCTGCTCCCCAAAAGCAGCATGGCATGGTTAAGACATGGGCCCTGGAATTAGGCTGTGTGACCCTGGGCAAGTCACTTCACCTCATCTGTAAACCACAGGTAGCAGCAGTACTCGCCTCCCAGAGTTGTTCTGAGGACTGAGTTATGGGTACGAAGGGCTTAGACCAGGCCCAAGACGTGGTAGGCCACTGACAAATGCTAGAGGAAGTGAACCGACTGGGTCCCCACGTTATGGGTAGGCCGTCTCCTCCCCATCAGCCTGATACATGGGAACCGGCCTGCAGTTTCAGGAAATCAGAACCAGGTTACTGTGTGTTGACCCCCTCCCTCTGCAGGTGCTCTCGAGGACGCCACATGAGTGAGCAGGAAGGTTAACTAGCTCTCTGACTAGCCACAGAGCTGATAAGGTGGCAGGGTTGGGGTCTGACCACCACCGAAGCCCGTGTTCTGGTCACTGCTAAAGAGGGCCTGGGCCATCATGCCAGCACAGTTTGGCAAGGCGGTGGCCCATTAGTGAGCCCGTCCCAGCCAGGATGGAGCCTCTGGGGGCCACCAGTCACCTGGCAGGCTGCCGCGGGTCCAGCCCCACTGCAGTCATCCCCCCAGGTCAGACACCCTTCCCCACCAAGACTAGAAGAGCTCCAGCCTCCAATCCTGGAACGATCTGAATCAGAGCCAGAGAGCCTCGAAGGCAGCAGGTGCCTGTCCCTCTCCCATTTGGAAGCACCTTCCCATTTCAAAGCCCTTTCAAATGGGGAATCCCATTCATTGTGGGGTAGGGAGGGAGTCCTGGGCCCTCCCCTCAGGGAACCAAGGATCAACACACCCGGTGGAGCTCAAAGAGACCTTACAGACTACCCAGTTTCCTTTTTCTCTTCGGCCACCGGGAAGCATGGCTGGTGTCTAGTACTAGTTTTACACATGATTTCTATGAGACCCTTTATGTCTTCTTACCTGTGTGCAACCAGTTCCCCCCACCTTCTGTTTTAATTGCCTTAGTTTTTGTGCTGAAGTTGGTTTGTTCTTCAGTTCATACCCCAGCTCTTCACTGTTCCTGGTTCCTCTAAGGCACACGCAGCCATTTGTGGTGAAATTGAGTAAACGCCAATCTAAGTACAAAACCACACCCCGCCTGTCGGTAGCCCAGGCTCCTCATTCTCTAGAAGAGGAAACTGAGGTCTGGGAGGGGGACAGTGACACTCTGGCCTGGAGACACTGCTCTTGGTCCGGGCCTGGCAGCTCTGAATGTGGCCAGGCCTGGCCCCGTTGCCAGTCTCGGCAGGCAGGAGTAATTGGAGGGGCCCCAGGCAGGTGGGCTTGGGTCTGAGATGTCCTGTCTTTTGCCTGTTGATTGGCAGACTGGTGGGGCCCCTGCCACGGGAGGTGGAGAGCCAGCCATGGACGACTCTGTTTGAAACGGAACATGTGGGTGATGCCCGCTTGGGGACAGATCTCACGTGGACTGGCCAGCTTCCAACAGGGTCACACGTCAGAGCGTGAAGGAGAGCTCTCTCGTGGGGAGCTGGAGTGGGCTGTGCGTGAGGAAGAAGGGCGGGAGCCACCTCCGGGAACCTGGGACTGTGTGTCCAGGTCGTGACACCATAGGGCAGGATGTATGAGGAAGTCGGGAGCCCCAGGTGCCTTTCTGAACCTGCTTCCTCGCCCATGGAAGGGGGCGACAGGGCTGTTTCTGAGCTCCTTCTACCTGATGTTTTTGCGCTGGATGTGAGTCTTGGGTGGCAGCAGGTATGGCCTGTGTCTCTGGTGACAGGGCTCCTGCTCCTCAGAAGGAGGTGGGGGGGGTGGTCTTTGAGCCCAGGGTCTCCTTCTGGAGTAGTGCTGCTGGAGGAGCGCTGGCTGGCCACTTCCTGTGTGACCGCTGCTATCCTCAGCGTATGGCTCGTCTAACCCGGTGACAGTTCTGAGATAAGTACTGTTCTTAGCCTGTCTTAGAAAGGAGGAGCCGAGGCACAGAGAGGTAGGTAACTTGTCTAAGGTCACATAGCCCGTCAGTCCAGAGCCAGCACTCAGGCACAGTCTGTTTTTAGAGCCTGTGGACTGAGGGCCCTTGTCTTCCTGCCTCCCGGCTGTGAGGGTGGAAGGTCATTAGTCCTGAACTCAGGGCACAGGAGGTGCTCACCTGATGGTGGGACCCATGGCCCAGACCTGCTGGTTGTCCCTTTCTTCCAGCCCGCACCGTGCATCCTGTCTCCTGTGGGGGCTGGGCTCAGCCCGGCTCCAGTGACCTGGCCCCGCTCCCATCTCCCACCAGCCCTGGGCCATCCTCAGGGTATATGCAGCAGCCATGCCCTCCTCCCTCAGCTGGGGGCTCTCGGCATCCTGCTGGTTAGTACCCCCTGTGAAGGGGCTCTTCTCCCCAAAACCTACTCCCAGGGCCACCCTCCAGGGTACCTTACGATCAGAGGGTGAGGCCCAGCCTGGGGTGCTTTAACCAACCAACCCCCAAGGCCTGGGGTGAGGGCAGGTGAGCCTGTCCAGGCTTAAACCTGTTCGGTCCAGCCCTTCCCACCAGCTGGAGCCAGCCATGGGAATCAGCAGCACCTGGCCAGACCCCAGCCCCCAGTCACAGAACACCTTGCCAACAAGTCCCCAGAGAAACCCCCAGGAGCTCGATGATGACAGCCCCACGGATAGACTGTGTGACCCCAGGCAGTTCCCACTATAGCCCTCTGAGGGGTGGTGTCATCCCCGGTTTGCAGACCAAGAAAGCAAAGCCCCAGACTGTTAGATGGTGCTCAGGGGAGGCACTGGGGTGGGACATTTCCCAAAAAAGCCAAGCATATGTGGGAAGAGGTCTCTGGCCCTTGTGGCTGGAGGGGAGCTGTTGCAGTGGCTTCGTGGATGGAGCGGTGGTTTGGGGCTTGCAGCGGCTCAGGAGGAGAAGGGCTGGTTTGAACTAAGTTGTGTTCAAACTCCAGGGGCAAAGTCAGACAGCGCTGCAAGACCCAGGCCCGTCGGGGCTCTGGTGGAGCCGGAGTGGGGATAGGCATTGAGGAATCAGCAAGGTTACTCTACAGCACTGTGCCCAGGGCCACCCTGGGATGAGCAGTCTGGGGGGTCCCATAAGGGGCAGCCTGTTCCACCTGAGAAGAGTGGGGTTGGGGGTGTGTGCTGTCAGGGACAGTTTCAAGGAGGCCATGAATTGGCTGGCCTGGAAGGATGAGTACGCAAGGCGTGGAATCTTCCAGTGAGGGGTTTTCAGGGAGACAACAAGTTCTGGGGGGAGCTGGGAAGGGAAGGTGGGGCAACAGGAGAGGGGGATAGAGTGCTGCCCTGGCCGGAAGGAGCTGGCTGGCTGGAGGCCGGTTCAACGTGCTTATAGCCAACTGTGTCCCGAGTCCCCAGGGGTTGGAGAGTATCTTTCTGGCCCAGGACTCAGAGGGGGCCAGGCATCCGCACAAGGTTGCACAGCCTGCCAACCAGAGACTAAGACCCTTAGCCAATGCCTGAGGGGCTTGGACTTTATCCTGCAGGCATGGGGAGCCATGGGAGGTTTTTAAAGTAGGAGATAGCATGTGCATTTTTTAAAAAAAAAAACTTTTGTATCTTTAGAAAGAGGAACTCCCCAAATGGCTAACATTTAACTTAGGGGCCTGAACCAGCAGCAGGGAAACAGGGCTTTGTGGATGGGGGCAGAAGGGGACCCCCAAGGGCCACTCAAGTCAAACTATCCACGTGAGGAGGGTCTTGGTACCCCATTCAGACCTGCCTGAGTTGGGGTCTAGCTGGGGGACATGGGGAGCCCCCAGTGGTGCCCCTGTTCCCTCCTGCTGGAGGGGGTACCACGCCTGCCCTGGAGGTGCCCCCGGATGGGGGGAGGCCGTGTGCCCCACAAATGCATTTGTTGGGGGGTGTCGACCCTGTGCCCCAGGGAGGAGAGCCAAAGGAGGTGCTTTGTGGCAGCCCCAGACCAGGAAGTAGCCTCTGCCCCCCCCACCCCCCCACCCCGCAGACATTTCCTCCAGATGAAATCACATCCCAGCAGGGGAACAGGCCCCCATTGTGAAGGGCTGGGGTCTCAGAGAAAGGGCGCCTTTCAGGCCCTTAAAAATAGCAGCCCTGAGATGGATGAGTCCGCATGGAATGGACTGGCCCATCCTCTCCCAGCAGCATGGGCCCTGTCACCCCCATTGCACGAAGCCGTGACCTGTTGTCAACCAGCTGGAGCATCCACTGGCTCAGGCGGGGGAGGGGCGGCTGGTCCATGGGGCCATCCCTGGCGTCATCCAGCACGTCTGGGGCCTCTGCAGACGGTGTCCCCTGCATTCCTCCCCGGAACTTTAGCAGGCGGGGTCGAGTGACATTTTACAGATGAGGAAACTGAGGCACAGATCGTAAGTCCCACGGCCAGTGGGTGGTGGGGCCCAGGTTCGAAGCCAGGCAGCGTGAGCACCCAGGCCTGTGCCTGGGATTCTGCAGTGGTGTGCTGGCTGCGGGGATGGGCTGGAGGAGCGGGGTGTGGTGTCCAGGCCTGAAGTGGGGCACCCGGTGGGGTCACATGATCTAGGTGGGCACTGGCGCTAACCATGGCTGCTGGCCTCAGGCTGGTCGTCCCCCTGAGCCTGGTCAGAGGCTGCCACTGGCTGTATCTCTCGGGCGTCTTGACCCGTCTCAAGCTGGGTCTGCAGGGCTGGGAGCCAGGCGCTCCTCACCTTCCCGCCAGGGAGCAGAGAGGGCAGGGCTGTGTGCGCTTGCAGGCGTCGGGTGAAGGAGCATTATCCAGTCTGGACTCCCAGAAGTGAAGCGGGGCGGTGGGGGGGCGGAGAGGGGCTGGTGCCCATCCAGGGGATTGTGGACAAGATGTTCTGGGCAGGACACTTAGCCTCCAGCCCCTAGCCCCCGGCCTCTCTCGGGAAGGCACTCCCCTTCCTCCGCCAGCCACCACCGCAGGGTCCTTCAGATTAGGGGTTTAGAAGGGATTGGGAGAGCTGCACCTGCTGGGACCTCCCCCACCCCACCCCACCCCGCCCCCCGCTGGCCTGACTTCGGCCTGGCCCCATTCCATCACGTGAGGGGGCCCCCTGAGCCCAGCATTTTTCAGCAGAGCCACCTGGAGACGGGGAGGGGCTGTAGAGAAACGGGGGCTGAAACACCAGCTGTTGGCAGCTCTGGCCTGCCCCAGCCAGGCTGCCACCGCACAGTGTCCTGGATCTTCCGATCTGGGGGTCGCTAGCGCCGGTCAGGGATGCTTGTCAGGGTTGCACCCTGCTGGAGCCCCAGACCCCTGCCCCCGCCCGGCCACTCCACCACGCGCTCCGGCTCCGGGCTCTTCATCCTTCTCCCCACTTCCCAGAATCCGCGCTCTGACTCCTCCTTGGAGAGAGTGGGATGACATCACTTCCTGAGGGGGGGAGGAGTAGGCACGACCCCGACAGCCTAGCCCGCCAGCCCGCCCGCCAGCTCGCCCGCCAGCTCACAGGGAGCAGCCTGGCAGCGGCTGGCTGAAGTGGCCGCACCAGAGAGAGCGCGACAGAGACGGGCCAGCCTGGACATGCCGGCTGGCCACCCGGCCCAATGGCCCCTCATCCAACCTGAGGGCCGTGCCCACCGGCCGGAGGATACTTGGTCACTTGCTTCCCAAGTGATGCTGGTCTCTGAGGACGGTCGCTTTCCCCGGAGCCGTCACCGGGGAGAGGAGGACTTGCCGCCCGCCTCTGGACCAGGTGCCATGTAAGCCTCTGGGCCTGGGGGCAGCTGTCTAGCAGCGGGGCGCCCACCCCCGCAGCAGGGGTTCCTCTGCACAGTCCAGCACAGGGCAGCCCTGGAGCCCCTCACCAGTATCTCCCGGACCAACTCCCACCCCACCCTGTGTGGGGAGCCTCCTGGCCTGCAGTGCTCCCTTTGCTCCTAGGGCTGTGGGGCATGGGGGTCCTGGACTCTTAGGCAGTCCACCCCTAGCTTGCCTGTGGCTGACTTGAATTCCGCTTCAGAGAGCTCTGAACCGGGCTGCGAAGCGTGCATGGCTCAGGGTAGACACGGGATATGTGGGTCCCAGGAGGATAGGGTACCCTGTAGGACTCACTGCCCTTCCAGCAGAGGAGCTGGGTAGCCCCAGTTGTGCCCCTGACCCTGGGTCCCGGCTGTGTCCCTCCCTACCAAGAGGCATAGCTGTGGCTAGGCATTCTGTGTGGTGAGTGTGAGATCAAGTGCCAGAGCATGGTCCCGGGCTCCAGCAAAGCAAGAAACTGAAGACCTCATTCAGCACATCTTTCCCGAGCACCTGCTATGTGCTAGGTGCGCTCTCCTGCCTCCATACATGCCAGATCCATGTGCACCCTTACCCCCACCCTCCCCAAGTTCTTCAGCCCTCATCCTGTCTTGTTCAGTTTGTGCTGAGGGACAGGCTGGTGCTTGGTCTGGAAAGCCCCCCCTCACCCCCCCCCCCCCAAGACTCCACACACTGGGCCGGGTCTCCTGAAGAAGAGGCAGCAGGGGAGCTGGGGGCTCCCCTGACCCTATGGAGGGGGAGGCAGCCGGGTAAGCCCAAGTCTTTAATGGAACTGAGTAGTTACTGTTGTAGTAATCCCCGGGAGAGCCAATCCCAAAGGGCTGGCGCCAGGCTTGGGGGCAAGAGAGCCCTCGGGTGAGGCAGCAGCCCGTCTCTGGCTGCTGAGGTCCTTTACAGTGGCTCTGAGCAGTGGATAGGGTTGGAGGTGGGTCCTGCCCGGGGATGGCTCAGCATTTGCAATGGTCTGGAAGCAGCTCGGCTGTGGGGCCTGGGAGAGATGCTTCTGTGCTGGGCACACCCGGCCAGGAGTGCAGTGGCCCCGGGTGCCCCAGAGGCAGCCACAGGGCCCTCCGCTGTCTTTCAGGAGGTGAGCACCAGGCCCGCTGAGCCTCTGCAGAGCTGCCAGCCATGCCCGGGATCGTGGTGTTCCGGCGGCGCTGGTCTGTGGGCAGTGATGACCTCGTCCTGCCGGCCATCTTCCTCTTCCTCTTGCACACCACCTGGTGAGTCTTAGGGCAATGCCGCAGGCCGGGAGGAAGGTTTTCTAGCTGTCTGACCTGACCCTGTCGTGCTCCCAGCTCCTAGGAGTTGGTGTCTGGAGTACCCATCGCTTCGGGAAATACCCACGTGGAGCGTGGAGACCCTGCCTGGTCCCCTGCCGGACCGGGCACCATCACCGGGCAGGGCTGCTGCCGCTGTCCCCCCACGGCCAGCAGCTGGGCTCCCTGCCCTCACGTCCCTGTCCACCCATGTCCTCAGAGGCCACGTGGATGGTGGTCCTGAGCCTGAAGCAGTGCAGCCCCTCCACCTGCCATGTCCCGCTGGCCAGGGGCCATGGAAGGTACCTGGATTCCCTGGCCCCCTGTCACATGTGCATCTCCCCAGGTTTGTGATCCTGTCTGTGGTGCTCTTCGGCCTGGTCTACAACCCGAACGAGGCCTGCTCCCTGAACCTGGTGGACCACGGCCGCGGCTACCTGGGCATCCTGCTGAGCTGCATGATCGCCGAGATGGCCATCATCTGGCTGAGCATGCGTGGGGGCATCCTCTACACAGAGCCCCGCGAGTCCATGCAGTATGTGCTCTACGTGCGCCTGGGTAAGGGCCGCCCCCGGGGGTGGGGGTTGCTCCCCACCCCCTTCCACCCCCCTCTCCTGCTCCACTCAGCCGGCCAGCATCTGTGGGGCCCACCCGATGGGCCAGGCCCTGGGCCAGCACCAGCGGCCAGCCGAGAGCCAGCAGACTTACCGGGCTTGTGCTCTAGACTGGGGAGGGCAGACTGCAGCCCGAGGGCCACATCCAGCCTGCCGTCTGTTTGTGCAAATAAAGTTTTATTGGCACCCAGCCACACTCATTCATTGACGTACTCACTGGTTCTGCGGCAGAGCTGAGTAGTCAGGACAGAGATGAGGACCCACAAAGTCTAAAATATTTTCTCTGGCCCTTGCAGGGGAAGTTGTCGGCCCCTGTTCTAGGCCAAGTGCCTCTCTTCTGCTGCTTTGAAAGCCTCCACCAAAGAGTGCCCCCCCCTTCCCTGGAAACCCCTCAGGGGTCCAGAGCCACTCCCTAGAGGGCCTGCCTGTGTCCTTTTTCTGGGCTTGGGGTTCAGCTGCTAGTCCCATCTTTCCGAGCGAACACTTCTCTCCTGCCTCCGGAACTGTGCTAAGCCCTTCCCGTTGTTAGCTGAGGGAGGAGCCATTACTGGTCTCCCTTTACAGATGAGGAATCTGGGCCACCCCTGCCCCGGCCCAGGGAGGTTAATTAGTGCCCTCAAGGTCACATGGCCAGTGTGCGTGTGCGTGTGTGTGTGTGTGTGTATGTGTGTGTGTGTGTGTGTGAGAGAGAGAGAGAGAGAGAGAGAGAGAGAGACTGAGAGAGGGCGCGAGCTGAGATTAGAACCCAGGTTGTCTGTCTCCAAAGCCTGGACCTCAGCTGCCGCAGGTGCTGCCTGCCAAGCTGGGGTCTCAAAGGCTGCTCGTGCCCCCGGGGGCCCCCCAGGCCTGCTGGGGCTCCTCTCGCCTCCTGCCCTGAGTGCCGGAGCCTCCTCTGGGAAATAGCAGTCTCCGTGAGACGAACCGTCTCTCACCTCATTCTCCGCGCTCCTGTAACGCAGACGTTGTCACCCCATTTTACAGATGAGGAAGCGGAGGCCCAGGGAGATTAGGTAACTTGCCTAAGATACATCTGATACCAGAGTTCATGGACATAAGTCTAAAATCCCGAAAGAGCAGCGAAATGCCTCTTCATCCTCCGCCTTTTCAGTCCCCTCTCAGGGAGGTGTCGGGGCCTGAGGGTGCTTAAGCTAGAATAGGTGGTGGGTACGCCGTAGAAGGACAGACCGGTGGTGGGATAGCCACTCTCCCTGGGCCCTCTCTGCCTCGAGGCCTGTGCTGGGGGGCGGGAGTCTGGTGCCCCTGCTGCAGAGGGGTCCTTCCCGGGCAGGCGGACTGGAGTGTCCTCCAGCACGCTCCCTGCTCTCCTCGCAGCCATCCTGGTGATTGAGTTCATCTACGCCATCGTGGGCATCGTCTGGCTCACTCAGTACTACACCTCATGCAACGACCTCACTGCCAAGAATGTCACCCTCGGTATGTCAGCCGGCTCTAGGGCTGGGAGGGACGGGGTCAGCTGGGAGAGGGGGAAGCTCAGGCACATCCCAAGGGAAGCGGTTGCCGGACGGACGCCAGGCGGGGTGGTGGCTGAGGCTGTGGGCTTCTTCCCAGGCCCAGCCTGCCCCCTTAGGGGCACCTGGTGTGGCGGAGGGGTAGGCAGCAGGGGAGGGCCCCTCAGATCCTCACCGGGAGCCCCTAGATCTGCCTGCTCTGTGCTGAGGGTGGGCCTTGGGGTCGTGGTTCAGCACGGGACAATCAGGTGGCCAGAGGCCAGGGCCGGGGGCTGCTGAGCCTCGCTCTTGGGCCCCAGAAGCAGACTGATCGGGAGGCAACAGTGCCCCTGAGCCAGGGAGGCTCCCCCAGCACCCAACCTCTTGCTTCCCACTGCTGCCCCACAGGGATGGTCGTCTGCAACTGGGTGGTCATCCTCAGTGTCTGCATCACTGTCCTCTGCGTCTTCGACCCCACGGGCCGCACCTTCGTCAAGCTGAGAGCCACCAAGAGGCGGCAGCGCAACCTGCGGACCTACAACCTCCGGTGAGCAGGCGGGGTGGGCGGGCAGCCCCGCGGAGGTTCACGGAGGGGCGGCCGGGCTGGCCCTGTGCCTTCCGAACCGCGTGCCGGACCGCATGCCGGCCTGCGGGAGCCATGTGCATGTGTTACAGTCCTAGCCCCTCCCAGCCTCAGTTTCCTGGTCTGTAGAGTGGGAATCACAACAGCTCCTGCTTCTGACGGCTGCTGTGAGATTTGAATGAGCACAAAGCGGTTGGTGCTGTGCTCACCATTTGGTACGTGCTCAGCCAGGGGGGCCCTTGTGACCATTGGTTCCACCTTCAGTGCTGCTAACGCCAGCGGTCATCGTAGCAGGAAGCAGGCCTAAACCAGGCCAAGCAGCACGCACCCTCACTGACAGCAGCTCTGTGAGGGGGCTGTTAGCATCACCCCCTTAATACAGACAGAGCAGGAACACGGAGTTGTGTGACTTGCCCCAGTGACCCAGCTGGGAAATGGCGGTTCTAGGCCCCAGCCCGGGAGGTCTGGCTTTAGGGCCCTTGCTCCTAACTACTAGGCTGGGTGGCCTCTGGGATTAAGGGGACTGGAGAAGGTTAATCAAGGAAGGCTTCCTGGAGGGGGTAGGTTTTGCACAGTGTTTTGAAGAAAGGGGAATGCTGTGCCATGGTAAAGAAAAAGAGAGAGGGAATCCAGGGTCACAGTGATTCCTGTTTAGTGAAAGAAAAGGATGGGTGGGGCACGGAGCCTCTCCTGTGACTTAGGCCCTGCCGCGAGCCCTTTCCCACCATCAGTCCATTCAGTACTTTTGCCGACCCTAGTGCCTTTAGGAAGCCTATTCTGCGGACGAGGAGTCTGAGTTCCGGGGAGGGCAGGTCACTTGCCGCAGGTCACGCTGATGGGGAGCAGACCGGCACTCCATCCCCAGGACAGGGGATTTGGGGGACCTCGGTGGGCTGCCCAGGCCCCCAGACCCAGTGGGAATTCTGCTTTGAGCTCCCCTTAGGCCCTCCACGTCAGCTCAGTGCAGCAGCCAGAGCCACACCCGCGCCTGGGCTGGCCACCTCCCAGCCCAAAATACCAGGCCTCGGAGCCAAGGCCCCAGAGCCTGTTCTCCCAACCAGCATAGCAGGCCATTACCACCCATCCCGTTTTGCTCATTCTGAGCATACGCCCCCACCTGACCTGGTTTCTGGGCTTCTGGGGCCCTGGGAAAAAAAAAAAAATCTCCCCTGCCTGACTCTGGGTAATTGCCTTTGGGGCCAGGGAAGCTAATGCCTTTGCAGCTGGGGGCTGTTGTTTTAATTAGAAAGTTTTCCTGCGGTTTCGGGCCGTGTGGGGCTAAGTAAGAGGCCTCAGAGCTCACGGGCTCTGACCTGTTGCATTTTCTCCAGCTCTCTGCGGGGGCTGGGAGGGCGGCCTAGGCTGCGGCTGGGTTAATGTGGCTACCTCTCAGCCTGGTCTCCACGGGCCCTCCACTGACCCTCTGAAACCAGCAGTATTTCTAACAAGGACGTTTTCACGCCTGCCCGCCCGCCCTTCAGCCACTTCCGGGTGTGGGGCCGGATGCGCGCCCCCACCCGTGCCACACTGACAGATTATTTTAGCATCTGGAAGTCAGGAACCTGTTTAAGTCCTGGGCCTTCTCTCCTTTCCATGAAATCTGGTAGGGGTGGAGCGATGGGTTCTTCCCGGCACTGCTCACTGGGAGCCTTGACCTTGGATCTTTGCAGGGGTGTCTGCACTCCCACGGGAGTGGGAGTCCATGGGAGGCCATGAACTTGCTCTTCAGATTCACTCTCTCTCTGCCTAGTGTTGCTCTCTGCAGCCTAACTGATGCATCAGGCCAAACCTGGCCCTGGCTCCATCTTCCTCCTGGTGGGCATATGGGGGATGCAGGAAAGCCTACAGTCGGCACTGCCCTCAGCCAGAGGCCCAGCAGGAAATACTCTTTGAATGTTGAAAAGCCCCTTAGATTAATTAGAAAGGGTTAAAGAATGTGATGCTCTGGGATCCCAGCCTGTGGCTTGTCGGCTCGCTCTCCCTTCATCAAGCCCCTGGCAGGGGGATTTCGCTTTATGATAAGACTGCCCAAGTCCCTGAGAACTGGTAGATCCCAGAAGCACCAGTTCCTCTGTACCCTTCGTACCCTGTCCTAACCCCTTCTCTAGCTCTGGAAAGCCCTGTGGCCTTCCCTGTCCTTGTGGCCCACTTCCATAAGGAAGCAGCCCTTCGCTGCAGAGGGAAGCCAGAGGGCTCAGGAAGGAGGGCCTGGCCTGTCACTCCTGATGGATACTAAGTGCCTTGCACGCATTTGAGGCCGCCCATGCCTTCCCCTCTAGACCACCAAGCAGCAGTAGCAGCAGGGACCAGAGGGAGGGGAGGGCACATGTCACAAATCTTGTTCAGTCTGGAAGCTTACATATTTGATGTTGGGTCTCCTAAATTTATGCTCAGAACACACTGACTACAGGGTACCTGGTGGCTCAGTCCGTTAAGCGTCTGCCTTCAGCTCAGGTCATGATCTCAAGGTTCTGGGATCGAGCCCCGCATCAGACTCCCTGCTCAGCAGGGAATCTGCTTCTCCCTCTTCCTCTCCCTCTGCCCCTGCTCATGTATGCGCGCGTTCTCTCTCTCTCAAATAAAAGTAAGTAAAATCTTTAAAAACAAAACAAACGAACACACCCAACTTCTGGGCTCCCAGCACTAGAAGGACCTCTGAGGCTAACTGGCCAGCTGCTCTGCCTTCCAGTGCGGTGTCCTGGATACCCCGACCCCCCATCAGAGCAGCTAGACACATTGGGGCTGGGGGCGGGAATGGACAGGCGTCAGCCACGCAGATGACAGGTGTGGGCCCTGGTCCCCTCTAGTGAAACAGATCCAAGGAGTCGGGAGATGCAGAGCCTCACGTGCCCATTAAACTTCCCCCAATACAGGGAGGGTTGCGTATCTGAGATCCCTTCCAAGGGGAAGCAAGTCTGTCCGACACGTCTGCTCCAGTGACTTGGCCAGGAGGCCCAGCACCCTGCTGCGGGGTCCCAGGGCTTTTAGATTGAGGCATCGGACACCTGGGCCACAGAGCGGTCCCCAGTTTGGGCTCCCACCTATGAAGCCTCCCTGGGGCATGCTGGTGTTCAGTCGGCCAGAAGCTGGGAGCGTGGCCGACCACATGGTGTTGTAGGCCAGCAGGGGTCCCCCCAGGGGACCTTGGCCAGGCCCAGGCCCAGTCCCTCCTAGACCCCCTGCTGGAGAGCCCTTTGGTGGGATCCTGGGAACAGGCCGCCCTGCTCCCATCACAGCTGGGTCGTGGCCCTTTTGGCCCCGCCCCCTGACCTCACACATACCAGCTCTCTCCCCTTGCAGGCACCGCTTAGAGGAGGGCCAGGCCACCAGCTGGTCGCGCCGGCTCAAAGTGTTCCTCTGTTGCACTCGGACGAAGGACTCACAGTCAGTAAGTACCGGGGGGTCGCCTCCCACTGGCTTGCGTCCTGCTGCCGGCCACTTAGGAGCCCTGGCTCCTTGGCAGAGCTGGGTGGGGCAGGGCTGCTAGAAGGGCGCTGAGCTTGAAGCAGGAGCAAGGGGGGGGGACCTGGCACTCACTGGCCTACCGATTCCCTCCGGCACGGGAACAGCCACTCCCTGGCTTGGTCAAGGGGATGGAAAGGTTTCAAGACCTTTCATCCACCCCCTTGGAACTTAGTTTAGGAGAAGAGATACTAAAAAATCAGGATGACCTGAAAGCAAAGAAAAGCAGTGTGTTCCCAGCCGCAGAGGCCTCTGGAAGGCCCGTCAGGGCGGTCAGGTGCTGAGCCCCAGATGTGCACAGCCAGCCCTCCGTACCTGGTGCTCAGAGGAGGGCACGGAGGGGCCCAGTGCTGCTGGAGAAAGGCCATCTCAGCGGAGGGTGGCCCCTGGGGGGAGGTAGGGCCTTTGGGGTCCTCGAGGCAGACCCCCCATGCACACTGGCAGGGCCCTTAGAGACCATCTAGTGTCCCCCCCACCCCCTGCCCCTCATTTTTCAGATCAGACAGCTGAGGCCCAGAGAGGTGGTGTGACTTGCTCAGCGTCCCACAGCTAGTTAGTGGCAGAGCCAGTGAGGTCAGGAGACCACTCCTCCCTGAGCCAGACAGCAAGTGCCCTCCATGGAAGCCACCGGAAGCCTGAGTGGCTCCTTCCCTCCAGCAGCCCCTGCTGAACTGTAGAGTGAGTAATCAGGTATAAGAAAGTCCTCCTCTCCCCCGAGGTTCCCTGGTGGGCGGGGATCACCCCTATGGGCCTCTCTGGGGGGTGGTCTAGGGGAACATACCCACCCCTCCTGGGCACATGGCAGACTTGGGGCTGATGTCAGAGTGCCGCAGGGAGGGGTGGCCCAGGATCTGGGTCCCATCAAGCGCTGGGGGTCAGGTGCAGTGTAGAGCACGTTTTGATCACTCTGTGCTCTGTGGCTTAAAATCTGAACTGAGTGCCAAAGTGACAAATCAGGCCTTTCGTGTACAGTTCCGTACTTGTAGATGCAGCCGTGTAGGCCCTCGCAGGGCGGTCAGCGGAGCCTAGTGGTAGCTAGCGTTGTCTGGCCTCGTCAGGCCTTTGAGTTTGCAACCCCTGAGTTTTGTTCTCTAACAAGTGCCAGGCACTCACAGGTGAAACCCTGAGAGTGGGAACCACTGGCCATGAGTCTGCACCCATCACAGCCTTCCCCAACAAGCTAGGGAAGAGGTTCCTGAGGCCGGGAGGAGGCCTGGCCCACTGACGGGCATGGTGGCCTCTGCACGCCTCCTGCCTCCTGCCCAGGGCTCAGGTGGGCCCGAGGACCAGGTTTACAGAGAGGCCAGAGGGGCAGCCAGCCCAGCGTCACAGCCTTCTCCAGGCCCATCATGAGGGTCCCCAAGCCTAAAGCTGTGGGCAGGTGGGGGAGGGGGACTGCCACCCCAGAGACTCCTCCCTGTAGGAGGCCTTTCAAGGTCACAGCTGGTGGGAGGTGGGAAGAAACTCAGTGTGGGGAGGCGGCAGCCAGGAGCTCAGTTTTGGCTTCTCTGCTAGAGAGACAGGCGGAGGAGAAACAAGCCGGGCCGGGCAGGCCTTGATTCCTAGTGGCTGGGGAAAGAACAGGAAATGGCTCACGTTGGCATCTGTGCATGGTAGGCGGTGATGGTGAGTGCCATAGGAGCTCTGAGGACAGAAGAGGGCCGGGAGGTGGAGGTTCGGTGGCTGTCGCACACAGCTCTGGCCAGGTCTGCGGGGGCCCAGAGCCTAGGCTAGGGCCCTTGGGGTCACGGTTGCAGAGGGCCCGGCGGGATTGGGCCCAGCTGGTGGTGAGCAGGTGCCTGGGGCGAGCTGGCACTGAGCCTGGAGCAGAGCCCCAGCCCAGTGAGATTCACGTCCAGTCTCTCGCCCTCTCTCCCGCTCCCCCGCCCCCACCTTCCACCCCCTCTCCCTCGGACCTCACAGGATGCCTACTCCGAAATCGCCTACCTCTTTGCTGAGTTTTTCCGAGACCTCGACATTGTGCCATCTGACATCATCGCCGGCCTGGTGCTGCTCCGGCAGCGGCAGCGGGCCAAGCGCAACGCCGTGCTGGACGAGGTGAGTGCCCTCCCTCCTCCGGGCCTCTCCCTGCTGCCCTGCTGCTGCTATGCCTGCTCCCTGGGGTCCCTCTGGTCACCCCCTGATGCCCCCTCTCCTCCTGGCTCTGGCTTGAGGGCCTTCTTGCTGCTGGGCCAGCCACAGAGGCTTCTGACCACAGGGCCCTCGTGAATGATGCTCGGTGCCTCGATCCTCCGCACTTGCCTCCGTCCGTACCCCACCCCCCAGCACCCTGACCCCATTAGGGTCTCCCAGCATCCACTTCAAAGCGCAGTACCTTCGGCCTGGGCAGGAAGGTCCCTGGCGGGGTAGTAGGGGGGTGTTTGATGCTTTCAGTGGAAAGGGAGCAGCTGGACATGTGAGGAGACCTCGGATTTGGGGACAATGGCTGGGTCATGGAAGAGCTAGAAACCACACCCTCCTTTGGGTGTTCAGGCCCTTAGGAAGCAACAGAATCAGAGCCCGGGGGGGGCCTGGACCCCCTATCTCAGCCGTGCCTCCTGGACCTGGGACAGCCACCTTCACACCCTGGTTTTACAGGCGAATAATGACATTTTGACCTTCCTGTCTGGAATGCCAGTGACTAGAAACACCAAGTATCTCGACCTCAAGAACTCGGTGAGTCGGACACCCCGCACCCACTCCCCACCCCAGCTCCTTCTCCCTCTGCAGGGCAGCCTGAGCAGACCACCTGCCGGCCACCCCACAGCATGGGGGCCCCCTGCAGCTCTCCCCATCGCCTCCCTCCTCGCCACCCCTTCGCCTCCCCTTCCTCCTGAGGACCGCCCCTGTCATGCTGGTCCCACAGTCAAAAGCCTGGAATCGGCTTCACCACCCTCCGAATGTCTGGCCCCGGCCTCTTGAGATCGTGAGGCTCCGGGGGGGGGGGGGGGGGGGGGGGTGGGGGGCGCCGCGGGGGGCCCCCAGGCTGGGGGGTGGCCGGCAGGTGGTCTGCTCAGGCTGCCCTGCAGAGGGAGGAGGAGGGGGGGGGGGGGCGGGGAGGCTGCTCAGACGGTCGCAGCCGCTGTTGTCCTGGAAGGCAGCACGACACAACGCACTGGTTTCGAGCTCTTTTGAGCGGTGGAACCTTTTCTCAGGCATCTGTACTAGAAACCCTCTGTTCACAGGTCAAGGTGGGGCCTGTCCTGTGGCCAGGGGAGCTCTTCCCCACCACAAGGGCACTGTGCTCCCCAGGCCAAAACTGCAGCTGGCGTCCTCAGGAGCAAAGCGATTTAGGGGGCTTCCGCTCCGCTGCTGTCACTGTGACCTTGAGCAAGGCCTCCGTCCCCTCGGGGCATGTTTCTGCATGGGTAGCGGTGCTGGGCACACCTTCCAGCCAGAGCTCTAGTGGGGAGGAAATGAACCATTCCGAGTCTGGTTCCCCAGTCAGGGACCTACCAGAAAGGATTCCTCCCGTGTATCTAAATCGCCTAGAAAAACCTCCAGTCTCCATCTGTCCCCACTGTCCAGAGTGGGTGTGCGTATCCCCTCTGATCACGTCGCCTGAAGCAGGTGCCCAGCCCAGCCTCGCTTCCCCCAGGCACCCGGGCGCTCTCACCATGTGAAGGGGGAGGGGGCAGAGGCAGGCCGAGGAGCCTTGAGGTGCTGGGCTCCCTGCCTGCTGGCGCCCCACCCTCCAGTTGGAGCCAGAGAGGATAATTACCTTCTCCAGATCATTCCTAAAGAGCAGATAGAGCTGGCCCGGCAATGGTTCCGCCTCTCTGGGCCCTTATTAAGGTGCTCCCTACTTTACTTCAGAAGATGACTAATCACCCTCTTTAACTTTTACAAGGTGACTAATTCCCCCTAAGTGCAGGAGCCCTCCAGCGTCTGGCACACCTGGGACACGGGAAGCCGCTTTGCCGGGACACCTGTGCCTCCCACCTCCTTCCAGCCCATCAGGCTGATCACAGTAGCCACTGGCCTCAGACACTGGGTGTTAAACTGGCGCCTTTCTCTGCAGAGATCCCAGTCTGCTCCAGACATCCCTGGGGAGCCTGTGACTTGCCCCATCAAACAAGAGTCTCCCCATATTTGCAGACAAAGAACTTGTGGACCGAGAGGGTGTTGATGGCTTGTCAGGTCACCCAGCGTCTACAGGGCTGGCCCTGCTGCTCAAGGCCTGGACACCCCCAGCTGGAGGGCTTAGTGCCTCTCAGGGTTAAACTTTCCTTCCCAGGCCTGTGATGCCCTCTCACACCTCCCTCTCACTTCCCTTCTGGAAATCGATCCAGGGCTCTGAGTGTTTTTCTGTCCCCAAATCATTAATTCTGAGGTTGGAGCAGCAGGACGGGTCCCAGGAGGTTCCGTGCCCTGGTTGCATGGAGATAATTAGGGAAATGCAATTATCATCTGAGGGGAGCGGTCCTTCCTCCAAGGCGGGAGCATGGGGGGCCTGCAGTCCCTAGGGAGTCCAAGAGGGCCGCTCCCTCCTCCATCCAGGGGAGCCTTTGGGCCTGGAGGCTGGAAGGGCAACAGTGACCGCCTCTGCCTCCTTTCTTCCAGCAAGAGATGCTCCGCTACAAGGAGGTCTGCTACTACATGCTTTTCGCGCTGGCCGCCTACGGGTGGCCCATGTACCTGATGCGGAAGCCTGCCTGTGGGCTCTGCCAGCTGGCGCGCTCCTGCTCGTGAGTACCCCCGTCCCATGCTTCCGGCTGGCCAGCGTGTACAGACAAGCAGAGGCCCTGAGGTCCTGAGGGCCAGCGTGTGGGAGACTCTCCCCGGACAGACTGTGCCTGCCCAGCCCCCCAGGGTCTGTGGCTTCCATGGCTTCTCTTCCATGCCACCTCTGGGCCTCAGCCTCTCTCTACTGCTGCATTATCCTTAGGCGGGGAAGAGTACGGGCTTTGGAACCACGGAGTGTTTGGTTTGAATCCAGATTTTGTCATTTACAGCCAGAGGCAAGTTGGTCTACCTCTGCGAGACTCAGTTTCTTTGTCTGTAAAGTGGGGATGGTGATACGTATGTCCTGGAGTTGTTCTGAGAGGATGGAATGAGGATTGGAGAGCATCTGGCGTGCTAGCTCCCTTCCCCTCCCGTCCTCTACCCGTCAACCACGCCACTCCCCTCTACCTGTATCTTTCTTTCCAGCTGGTGTCCTGTGCTCTGCTTGCTGAAATAAAGGACATGCCTAGTACAGGCCCAGTTCATGGAGGCCTCTGGAAGGGCATCGAGAAGGCCCTTGAGTGAAAGACTTTGACCCTCTTCCCAGGGATTTGGCAAGGCACCTGTCCCAGACCAGCCCACCACCCCGCTCTGGGTGCTGGGAGGACTCTCTGTCTTTCCTAACTGGGCCAGAGAAGGACAAAGCTCCGGAAGGGTCTCTTCCCCGTCCTTGGTGTCTCCACCCTCAGCCCGGCCCAGACAGAAGGAGGACAGCTCCCTGGTCTGGAAAGCCTGGCGTTCTGTCTGTGACGCCCCTGCCCTTGGGGCAGCCACACCCCTCTGCGGTGCCCTTCCTTTCTGCAGAAAGCTGTGTGGCTCTCGGAACCTTGTTTTCCCCACCCCCCAGTGACTTGCAGAGCGAGTGGCCCGGGCACCCTGTGCTCCCTCCCACAGCTGGCGTTCCTCGCAGCGTTCTTGGGAGTCGCTGCTGCTGCCACTGAGAAGCATGTCAAAATGAGTACCAGACCAGGAGTCTGGAGACCCGGGCTCTGACGGGCCCTGCTCCATTACTGGCAGGCTGGGGACATGGTCGGGGCGAGCGGTGCCCTTCCCTCCTGCCTAGCGGGTATTTCAGAAGCCAGGCAGTCGTGGGTAAGCAGGGCCTTCGGGGGGTCTGCAGACAAGGGGTGGGGGGGCACTGCGGTTTGTCAGCTTCTCGAGACTGCGAGGAGCAAGAGGATGGGTCCTCGAGCTCAGGTGTCCGTCCCTGAAGGCGGTACAGTGGCGGCCACATGCTGAGAGAAGAGGCAGCTGCCTGAGAGCAGGAGTCCGGCCCCCAGCCCTGGGCCAGCCCCCACTTGGCCCTGCAGTTGGTGGAGGCCCCCCACGGGCCCTGCGGTGGTCACCCACTACAGGCCCCGTTGCTTCCCAGACTCGGCTGAACCCTGAGTTTTCCCAGAGGGGCCCCTCCTCATTGGGAAGTAGGTGACAGTCCCTTAGGTGCTGCTTAGGTGAGGACAAAGCTCTCGGCATCCCTGAAATTCAGGATTCTTCTTAAAAATCTCAGCTGTCCTCTCAAGGCAGCAAGCCCACCCAGGCCTTGAGTTCTGGCTCGGGGCTCCGCGACCCATCTGTTGGCCACTGGCTCCCTCTGGCGGCCTGAGGAGCACCTGCACCCCAAGCAGGGTCCCCCGCTCAGATGCTCAGCTCGCTGTTCATTTGGGGGAGGCCTGCTCTGGTCCCAGTGCGGACGTGGCTGTACCCCTGCCCTGGGGACCCACTGCCTGGGGGGAGGTACAGACAGCACACAGACAAGAACACAGGGCCTGTAAGAGCAGAGGGACACTTGGGAGAAATAGAAACAGGTCGTGGTGTCAGGCCGGGGAACACAGGCAGGGGGCTGGTGGTGCTGGACGGGGTGTCCTGGGCGAACCTCCCCGTGACATACATGTGAGCAGAGGCCTGAGGGAAGTGAGAAGTCCTGTTGTGCAATATGGTCTGTGCATCCTTGCAAGGACCCCAGCTCTCATACTGGGCAGGAAGGGTATCGCTGCAGGGTTTCCAATGAAGTGACATGGCTCGGCTTACGTCTTAGAGGGTTGCCCCGGCTGCCGATTGAGAATGTCGAGACCAGGAGTACATGAGGGAGACCAGGCAGCCACCATGACGCTCCGAGACAGAGATAATGGTGGAAGGAGTGGGTGGGCGCAGGGAAAGTGGCTGGAGCCTGTTCTGAATTGGAAGACAGAGTGAGCCGATGTGTCGACCGACCCATGGGCTGTGGGACGTGAAGTGGGGAGGGGACCTGAAGCCAGCTCCAAGGACAGGGCTGGGCAATGAGCAGCAGGGCGCAGGGAACTACGGGAGCCCTCAGGGGTGGGCCGGGGGGGTGGGTACTGGGCCCCTGAAAGGTGGGAAGGGAGCATCTGGAGGCCGGGAGCAGGTAGGTGGTTCGGTCACCCAGAGGGCATAGAGGAGCCAGGGAGGCCCAGCAGTGAGGGAGGAGCAGTCCAGGGGTGAGGTGGGAGAGCAGTGCAGAGAGAGGGAGAGGCCCACCGGGTCCCCTGCCGCCAGGAGCCCGAGGACCGTGAGGGCTGTGAGACTTCTCCAGGGAGGTTCCGGAGAGGCTGACTGGGACAGTTGCTCTCGGGGTCTCTGAGCCCCCTGCCCCCCTCCCCTTGCCAGGTGCTGCCTGTGCCCCACGCGGCCCCGCTTTGCCCCAGGAGTCACCATCGAGGAGGATAACTGCTGTGGCTGCAACGCCATTGCCATCCGGCGCCATTTCCTAGATGAGAACATGACCGCGGTGGACATCGTGTATACTTCCTGCCACGACGCGGTGAGCGGCCACGCCGGGCCTGTGGGCAGCGCTCCCTCACCCCGGCTTCTGTCCTCGGCGGGCCGCGGGGGCGCGGCTGGACCCCCTCCCCTCCTCACCCCCTCGGGGGCCAGGCAGTGGTCCCCGACTCCAGCCCCAGCCCTGGGGCTTCTCGGCCCAGCCGTCAGGGGAAGGAATGCAGGGACTCAGCAGCGAGGCCCTGGGAAGGGGGCAGCAGTCCCGCAGGCAGGACAGCAGCACTCAGGCTTCCTGAGCTGGAGGGGAGCCTAGAGGGAGCCCCAGCAGCCTTGCGGGGGCCCAGAGAGGAGCTGGCTCCTTGGCCAGGAGGCCTGCTCAGGTCACTCTCTGAATCTGGGCCCATTCCAGGGCCCCTCGACTCATGAGCCCCCCTTATCCTAGGTCTATGAGACCCCTTTCTATGTGGCAGTGGACCATGACAAGAAGAAGGTGGTGATCAGTATCCGGGGAACCCTTTCGCCCAAGGTATGCTGCCTGTGGCTCCCAGCCCAGCCCTCACAGCCCCTGAGGGCTGCCCGCCTTCCTCTTCCTGTCCTCACCCCAGCCCTCGCCTGTCCTCTCTGTCCACAAGGATGCCCTGACAGACCTGACCGGTGACGCCGAGCGCCTCCCTGTGGAGGGGCACCACGGTACCTGGCTGGGACACAAGGTACTCCCCCTTCCGGGCCCCGGAGGCCCCTTGCCTCCTCTCCTGCCCTGCCAGCGCACATACCTGTCCGGCTGTCGGGGTGGGTGTCCTCCCTGCTTGCTAGGCCCCCAGGGAGAGGTGGGTCAGAGGAGTGTGCATTCATCTAGAAGGTCCACTGTGGCCCACCCACCGGATCCCCACAGTCCTGCCTGGCTCAGGTCCTGTTCCAGAAGAGCCTAAAGAGGCAGACGGGAAAAGATTGGTTTCTGTAAGATGCACAACTCTTCTGAGCCTCAGTCTTGTCATCTGTGAAATGGAAATGATGTGATAAAGTGTGCACCAGTCCCCACAGCCAGGTTGTTAGGAGGGCCAAAGGGGAAATGGTTGGGACAGGATTGGTGAGTTTCCAGTCACCATTTTTGCTGGTCCCTAAAAGGCTTCACTCCTGGGGCGCCTAGGCAGGGTGGTTGGTTAAGCCTCTGATTTTTTTTTTTAATCTTTTTTTTTTTTTAAGATTTTATTTATTTATTTGACAGACAGAGATCACAAGCAGGCAGAGAGGCAGGCAGAGAGAGAGGAGGAAGCAGGCTCCCCACTGAGCAGAGAGCCCGATGTGGGGCTCTCTCCCAGGACCCTGGGATCATGACCCAAGCTGAAGGCAGAGGCTTTAACCCACTGAGCTACCCAGGCCCCCCCACTTTTTAAATCTTTTTTTTAAAGAATTATTTTATGGGGCACCTGGGTGACTCAGTCATTTTTGTGTCTGCTTTCTGCTTGGGTCATGATCTCAGGCTCCTGGGATGAAGCGCCTGTCGGGTTCCCTAATCAGTGAGGTGTCTGCTCCTCCTACCTGTGCACTCCACCCCCCCCTCCTCTCCTTCTGCAAAATAAATAAGTAGAATCTTTTTAAAAATTTATTTGAGAGAGAGAGAGAGAGAGAACGCACGCACATGAGCAGGGGGAGGGGTAGAGGGAGAACTGAAGGCAGTTGCTTAACTGACTGAGCCACCAAATGTCCCCAAGCATCTGATTCTGTTTTCAGTTCAGGGTCATGATCTCAGGGTTGTGAGACCAAGCCCAATGTCCAGCTCCACGCTCGGCACAGAGTCTACTTAAGACTCACTCTCCCTCTCCTTCTGCCCCTACACCCTCTGTGCGCACCCTTGCTTTCTCTCACACTCAAAATAAATAGGTAAATAAATCTTTCAAAAAAAAAAAAAAAAAGGCCTAAAAGCTCTCCCTCCCTGTGACACCGACCTCTGTTCCTCCTTACCCAGGGAATGGTTCTCTCGGCTGAGTACATCAAGAAGAAGCTGGAGCAGGAGATGGTCTTGTCCCAGGCCTTTGGGCGAGACCTGGTGAGGCATTCCCCTGCCACTGAGCCCTGGTCATGCCCACGCTGCCGCCCCCATGGCAACGCTGGGGGCAGGGTGTGTGCGTGGTGGTGCCCCCCCTGCCACCCACAACGCCCCACAAGCCAGGCCCCTACACTCTCCTTGGATGCCTGGCTTCCAGCCCCCTCCTCACCGCTCGGTGACCCCTTCCTCTCTCTCGTACCAGCAGTTCTTGGGCTCCCCTGCCCCGCCCCACCCAGGTATGCCCCCCCCCCCCCCCGCTCCATGCTGGGCACTGGAGGTACAGAGATGGTTCTGGGCAGGGGCTTCAAAATACAGAGCAGGCAACAAAGATAAATAATTTCAGAGCCCATAGGAAGAGTGTTGCTCTGGGTAGAGTGATGTGGATCCTACCCTCGACCCAGCCTGCTCCTTGGCCAGGCAGCCCCCCCATGGTGCTGGCAGCTGCCCTTCCCAAAGCCAGGTGGTCTCTGGCCTCAGGAGACCCCAGTCTAGTTGTTGGGGCGCAGAGACGGGGGCAGGTGAACCAACGATTGTTCTAGAGGATAATCTCCATAGTACGTACCCTATTACAGTAGAGTACAATCACCATGTATAAAGGTCTTCTGTGTGTATACATGCAAGCGTCTAGGAGGGAGTGAACCTCTTCCAGAAAATCAGGAAGGTATCAGGAAGGCCGAACAAGGTTTTAAAGGATGCATAGGAGTTTATTCGAAGTTGCTCTGAGCATGTCTAGCTTGGCTCTTTCCCTGCCCCAGGGACCACACAGCACAGATTCTGTGTCAGGACTCCGGGAAGACCCCTCTGCCCACCTGGTAGCAGCTAGTCCAGAGCATCCGTGGGGCGGGGCTCTCACCTGTCTCTCTGTTTCCAGGGCCGAGGAACCAAACATTATGGCCTGATTGTGGTGGGCCACTCCCTAGGTGCGGGCACTGCCGCCATCCTCTCCTTCCTGCTGCGCCCCCAGTACCCTACCCTCAAGTGCTTTGCCTACTCCCCACCAGGGGGCCTGTTGAGGTGAGCCGCCTGGGGCCTGGGAGCTGGCTGGGGTTGATGGGGGCCAAAGACGGGAGCTGGCCTGGGCAGTCTGACTTCTGGTGACATGGGGGCCTGGGAATGGCCTGGTAAGTGGAGGGAGGGGTGCTCCGTCAAACGCCAGGTAGACCCCAGGATCTGTGCCTGGCAAAGCCTCACTGGCAGGAAAGGTGTGACCGGGAGCAGGCAGCCCAGCCTGGCCCCTGGGAGCTCCCCAGAGGGCCGTGAATCCCAACACTAACCCTAGGAGTGCTGGAGCAGGGCTCCCTCACCACCCCTGCCTCAGCACCCCGGGCTTCCTTTGCAGCGAGGATGCCATGGAGTACTCCAAGGAATTCGTGACAGCAGTGGTTCTGGGCAAAGATCTTGTCCCCAGGCGAGTTGCAAGTCACAAGTCCCAAGTCACTCCCTTTCACCACTGTCCCGGCTAGCTGTTCCTGCCTCCTCGGGGCCTTTCCCTCAGATTCCCATCTCCCCGGGGAACCCCAGAGCCCCTAGAGCCCCCAGAGGGGGAGGACAGGTGGCCCCACCCTGCCTGACCTCCCTTACCTGGCTAGGCCCTGCTAAACTGCGGACTCACCCCTGCCCACCCCTCCCACCCCATGATCCCAACGGGGTGGTCTTCTCCCTTCTGTGGCTGCCGTGTGCCTGCCTATCTGCCCACACACCCCATACCCCTCCCAGTCCCTGGCCCGGCGAGGCTGACACCTGGTTTGCTTCCTTCCCCAGGATCGGCCTCTCCCAGCTGGAAGGCTTCCGCAGACAGCTCCTAGACGTCCTACAGCGAAGCACCAAGCCCAAAGTGAGCCCCCGCCCCCTGTCCCCCTCTACCCTGCTTGGGCATGCTGGACCTTGGGCACCTGCCTGTCCCTTGGCACAAAGCACAAGAGGGCCCAGCCATGTGAGGCCAGGCTGTATGTGGCTGGTGTCACGGGAACCCCAGCCCATCAAACTCTCAGCACCTCCAAACTCATCTCATCTCCCCCACAGCCTATCCTCATACAGAGGGGAGCAGTCGAGGCCCAGAGTGGGTAAGGGACTTGCTTTTGTTCACACAAGCTGTCAGGACTGGGACCCAGGGCTCCTGAGTCCCGACCCCATCACCCAGAGCTGCCTAAAGTCAGGAAAAAGCAAGCCCGAGGCTCAGTGCTTCGAGTTCATGATGGGAAGGCTGCTGCTAGGCCTGCTGTGGTTCTCTAGGCTCCATGAGTCCAGGTGCCACTGCCGGAGGGAGTCTGGGTGCGGTTTGTTCTGAGGCTCTGCTGGGGCTAGAGACAGGCCCAGCCTCGCCTCCTCTCCCATCAGGTCTTCGAGGACACTGGGGCTCTTCCTGTGCCAAGGCGGCCTCAGTGTCCCAGGCAGGCGTGGGTGCTGTGGCCAGGTACCCTGAGGCAGGCAGGAAGGGCCGCCCTGGAGCAGCATGTCCTCTCTGACCCCGACTCCACCCCACCCATCATCTCTGCCCAGTTTGGACTGTTCCCAGACTTGGTGCCCATGACCTTCTGGCAGGCAGCGCCCTGGGCCTGGCACCTGGTGGCAGGGGTGGGCAGGGCAGCAGAAATGTAGGGGCCAAGTATGCCTGGAGGAGCCTGGTTCTGGGAGGCAGAGCTGCTCCTATCCGACCCAGGCTTGCACCCTCATCAGGGCTGGGAGGCTCCGGCCACCCCAGATGCAGCTGGGCCTCTTAGGTGCAGCCGGAATGAACTTGGTGTCTGCTCTGTCTCTGACTCAGTGCATGACCTAGAATGAGTCCCTTCCTTTGCTGGGCTGTTTCCCCGTCCTCTAGATGAAGAGGTGACTGGTCTTCCAGCCCCTTTCTAGCCCTGAAGTTCAACACTGTCCCGTCATCTGTCCTTGGCATCTTTCTGGCCATCGTGGCCACCATATGCCTCGGCCACTGCCTCCGCAGGTGGGCACTGTTCTTCGCTCTGCCCCATGGCCATCCTGGCTCCCCCCGGTCACCTCTGAGCCTCCTTTTGAGGCCCCTCCTGCCGCTGCCCACCAACCAGCCCTGCTCAACTCTTTCTCTGTCTCCCCCAACCCTGCCCCACACAGTGGCGAATTATCGTGGGGGCCACCAAATGCATCCCCAAGTCAGAGCTGCCTGAAGAGGTTGAGGTGGCCACCCTCGCCAGCACACGGCTCTGGACCCACCCCAGCGACCTGACCATCGCCCTGTCTGCCAGCACCCCTCTCTACCCTCCTGGCCGTATCATCCATGTGGTCCACAACCACCCAGCAGAGCAGTGCTGGTAGGTGCTGCTTGTGACCCTGGCCAGGGGCATGGGGGACAGAGCTGGCCTTGCTTAGTGACCCCCCCACCCCTCGGGGACTGGGGGCAGAGGCAGGGCGATGATGGCCCAGGACGCTCTTGGCCTGCATTGCGCTATCCTTGGGCTCTGCAGGTGAAACAAAAGACCCATCCAGAGCAGGATCCCACCCTTTGTCCTCAGCGCCCTCCGCCATCTCCTGGTGTCCCCCAGGGCAGTTCTCCCCACTTATGACCCATGTAAAAGCGGATGCCCTTGGGGAGGTCACCCTGAGGCCCCAGCCAGTTCCCACCTCGGTCGTGCGCCATCCCCTCTGGGGTTAGTTGGCCGCACTCGTGAGCAGGGGTGTCAGAGGGGAGAGGGGAATGGGCCAGCCCTAGCCGACTTCTCCCTCTTCCTGCTCCTGCAGAGGGCGGGGCCTGACTCCTCCCTCCCAGCGGCTGAAGGCTTGTGACCCAGGCCTTGCCCAGGGCAGGGCAGGTGTGGCCCAGGCCTCCAGCAGGTGGTAGGCTATGTAGGGACTGTGGCTGAGGTCCTGGTGAGGCCGAACAGGGAGCCCAGGGACCTGGGGGCCGAAGCCAGGCTGCCACCCACTCTCAACCTCTCTCCGGCCCCTGTGCCCCCACCAGCTGCTGTGAGCAGGAGGAGCCCACGTACTTTGCCATCTGGGGCGACAACAAAGCCTTCAATGAAGTGATCATCTCGCCGGCCATGCTGCACGAGCACCTCCCCTATGTGGTCATGGAGGGGCTCAACAAGGTGAGCCCCCGGGCAGCCCGGGCAGTGACGCCTCCTCAGATCCCCGCTGTGCTCTGCGGCCCAGAGCACCTGGGCCGTCCCGGAACGACAGGCAAGGATGCGGATGCTCAGAGAAGCGAGCCAGAACTCGTCCTCTGGTCCCTGCACCCCTGCTGTCCCCATGGCTGTGTAGGCCCTGTGGTGGGAAGGGGTCGGGGAGACTCCCAGGGACCTGGCCTGACACACTCACAGCTGAGCAGGGGTGCCCTCCGCCATCACCTGGCCACGGAAGGGTGACCGTAGTGAAGGAGAACGCCAGCTGTGGTGCCTAGTGTGATTGTGGGGCCAGGCCCAGGCCTTCCTGGTGGAGCGGGGACCTGGGCTGGAGGGGGGCAGGAGCGGGGCCCAGCCGACCCCACGAGGCTCTGGCCTGAGAGGCCTGGCCTGCTGCCCCTCCCCCACATGATTGTCACCCTCCACCACCGCCACCAGCTTGCCCGACCTGTCCCCAGGTGCTGGAGAACTACAACAAGGGGAAGACGGCCCTGCTCTCCGCTGCTAAGGTCATGGTGAGCCCCACTGAGGTGGACTTGACTCCTGAGCTCATCTTCCAGCAGCAGCCGCTGCCAACGGGGCTGCCCGTGCCTGCTGGCCTCGCCCTGGAGCCGCCGGCCGCAGACCACCGAAACGGCGTAAGGTGAGTCCTGCCTGCTCCGCCCCAGCCCGCCCCGAGGGTACGCACGCCCCAGGGGTGTCCAGGGCACAAAAGCTTGTGCACCCGCCCTGGGCCGACAGGTGTCTACGAAGCTCTGCGCACAGGCTTGGGAAGGTTCAACTTGACCCTCTGCTCAGGAGCCCCTGGGCTGCTCCCACGGCCCCCTACTTGCCATCACTGAAGCCCCCAGGGGAGTGTGGTTGCCTGGGGATGCACAGAGCTGGGGCCACAGCACACAGACGCACTCACAGCCATCCAGCCCACACATGTGGACACCCGTGGACTTACACACACGCACAGAGGTGTGTTCATGGTGATGCTCACACCTGCATACACATACGTGTTCAGAAACCGTAGCTCTGAGCACACGGAGCCCCCCACACACGTGCTCATGTAGAGGACATACAAGTAGAGGCCGAGCTACACAGACCAAAGGGCCACTAGGGTGGGCAGCCATGCACGTGAGCAGGGGACTGCACCTGTGCCCAAACTGAGCCACACGGACACAGACAGACACCTGCCCGCTACACACGTAACACCGGGCCCCATGTGCCTGCTTCTGGACCTGCATGTGCTCTGATGGGGCTGGCTCTGAGGTTGGGAATCTTCCTGGCCCACCCCCTGCGGGGACCTTTCCAGGCCAGGTCACAGATATGGCTGGGAGGCTGCTCCAAAGGGTGGTCGCCACCTCCAGGCCCTTGGTGGGGACACCTGGACATCTCTCCCTACCATTTGTATATTTCCTGTGGCCATGGCTTGACCATGCCTGCTCGGAGGTGTGGAATCCCCCTCCCCTGCCCCCGCCCCCTTCACTTCCCTGTCCGTCCAGCAGAGGGCACTAACCCATGGCAGAGGCAGGAGGAACATCCATGTAAGGAAGTGATCTGGGCCACCCGTGTCCCCTCCAAGACACATCAAGGGGCACTGGCCCTAAGGGTGTGAGAACCAGTGGGGGCAGCTCTAGGCAGTGCTTTCTCCCTTTCTCCCTCCCCCTTCCTCTCTCTCCCCTTCCACCAACGCCTGGTAGTGACCTGGGGCAGCCAGTCTGGGCCCCAGGCTCCCATGAGCGCAGAGTGTCGCAGCAGGGCTCCGGAGCTCTAGGGCTCTCAGCGGGGCCTTAGGCCTTCAGTGCCCCCACCCACAGCATCAGCCCTTTTGCCTTCTGTCTTGGGCTCTCGTGAGCTGTTTTTTAAAACAAGCATCACACTGTTGAACAACTGATAAATTAACCTCCTCCCTTCCCCAAGCTCCCTGCAGCCCGGGAGTGGGAGGGCCCCCCCAACCCCCCGGGGTCTCTGCCCTCCTGAGTGTCACAGCCCGGCCCTGCCCTCCGTAGGAGCAAGTCCCAGTCCGAGATGAGCCTGGAGGGCTTTTCAGAGGGGCGGCTGCTGTCCCCAGTGGCGCCGGTGGCGGCGGCGGCGGCCCGCCAGGACCCCGTGGAGCTGCTGCTGCTGTCCACCCAGGAGCGGCTGGCGGCGGAGCTGCAGGCCCGGCGGGCGCCCCTGGCCACCATGGAGAGCCTATCGGACACCGAGTCCCTGTACAGCTTCGACTCCCGCCGCTCGTCTGGCTTCCGCAGCATCCGCGGCTCACCCAGCCTCCATGCCGTGCTGGAGCGTGACGAGGGTCACCTCTTCTACATCGACCCCGCCATCCCGGAGGAGAACCCGTCCCTGAGCTCGCGCACTGAGCTGCTGGCGGCGGACAGCCTGTCCAAGCACTCCCAGGACACGCAGCCCTTGGAGGCGGCCCTGGGCAGCGGGGGCGTCACCCCCGAGAGGCCCCCCAGCGCGGCGGCCAATGAGGATGAGGAGGAGAGGGGTGGCGGAGGGGCGGGCCGCGGGGGAGAGCTGGCTCTGCACAACGGGCGCCTAGGGGACTCGCCCAGCCCTCAGGTGCTGGAGTTCGCTGAGTTCATCGACAGCCTCTTCAACCTCGACAGTAAGAGCAGCTCCTTCCAGGACCTCTACTGCATGGTGGTGCCTGAGAGCCCCACCAGCGACTATGCCGAGGGCCCCAAGTCCCCCAGCCAGCAAGAGATCCTGCTCCGCGCCCAGTTTGAGCCCAACCTGGTGCCCAAGCCCCCGAGGCTCTTCGCTGGCTCCGCAGACCCCTCCTCAGGCATCTCACTCTCACCCTCCTTCCCGCTCAGCTCCTCTGGCGAGCTCATGGACTTGACGCCCACAGGGCTCAGCAGCCAGGAGTGCCTGGCCATGGACAAGATCCGGACTTCGACCCCCACCAGCCATGGGGCCAGCCCCGCCAAGCAGGACGACATGGTCATCTCGGCGCGCTAGCACCCCCGGCGTGGCTGCCGGCTGAGACCCCGGGCTGAGCAGGGGGCCCCTCAGGCTCCTGGTGGCTGCCCCCAGGGCCAGGCCGCTTTGAGGAGAGGCCCCCCCAAGGGTCAGTTTAGCCTCAGGCATGGGGCGCTGCTGCTGAGCTGGGGGTCTGCAGCCCTACCTCAGCTTAGGACCACCGGGTGTCCGGGATAAGGGTCCTTTAGATGGGGGAGGGATGTGAAGCAGGGAGGAGCCTGGGGTGGCCTGCCGGGTGGGCTGGGCAGCCCTCGGCCCTCTCAACCTGCCTGTCCCCCACAGGACGAGCAGTGGGCATGCTGACTCCCCATCACTGCCCTCTGGCTGCCCTCCCAGGGCCAAGATGGAGAGCAGCCCTCTCCCCACATCCTCATATCTGTGGTCCAGGCTGGTGTCCGCCCTGGCCACCCCCCCCAGATCTGGTGCCTGCTGGCCAGCCCCCTGGGGTGACCCCACGCCAAGGTGGCCCGCAGTGCTGTGTATGTTTACAGATGTTGCTGGGCTGGACTCAGGAGGTTTCCTGGACTTGCAAGTGCCCCCCCCACCCCCACCCTATCATGGGTTCTGAGCAGGGAGGGGAGGGGGCCCGTCCCCATGGAGCCCAAGGCAGCCACCGGGCCTGGAGGGGCCTGGAGGAGGGTGGGGTCAAGACTACCCCTTTTCTGCTTGGTGCCCCTCATGCCGATCCCTCTGGCAGTGGGTCCTGGGCACCCGGGCCTGCCCCACCTGCCCATTACTTCCTGTCTTGCCTTCTACCCCAGGGGTCCTGGCCGCTCAAAGGGCAGAAGGCACAGGCATGACCACCACTGGCTTCAGAGTCAGTGCCCTGGGCAGAAGGAGGACACCCAAGTCCCCCTCCCTTTGAGGGCCCCATGTAACCCCTCTGTATCACCCCGTCCCCGCACCTAGGCAGCCTCAGGCCCTGGGGTCTGAAGCCAGACATGTCCCCGCTGCCCTCGGTTCCCCCTCCTCACTGGCCCGAGCGCTCCCCCAGTGGAGCTCTCTTCCCCCCAACCCTCCACATCCGTCCTGTTGGCAGGAAGTGGAGCCAAGAGGAGGGTATTTCAGGGTCTAGCTAAAGGGGGAGCAGGAGGGCCAGGGGCTCCGGGGCTTTCCCCCCTTAGCTGGAGGCCTCCTGCTGGGCTGGGGACGCAAGGGGGAGGCGGCGCATGCCGGGGGCGTGTGTGTGTGTGTGTGTGCATGTGCATGTGAACCGCTCCTGAGGAGGGGGCCGCGGGGGCTCCCAGCCCACCTGCTTGCCGTCCCTCCCAGCCCACCGAGAACACAGACCAGGATGGGGGCCTGGGCGGTGGTGGGGGAGGGGAGATGCACAGGCCGAGCTCAGTTTCATACGTTGCCATCCCCCGTGTCCCACTGCTTCTTGGACCCCGGGTTTGGAAAACTGGTGTGTGCCCCGGCGCTGACCGCCTGCATGTGCCTTCGTCTCCCCGGAGGCAGACTCCCCCATGCTGCCCACCCCATGGCCTCTCTGGAGCTGCTAGACTCCCCTGACCAAGATCCACACCCCCCCCCCCGATCTCATGATCACTGGTATCGGGGGCCTGTGTCCTGACCTCCATCCCACAGAGCTGGGACTGGCCTGGATGCTGCTCTGGGACCCTCCCCACCGTGACAGATGGAGCCAGAGTCCAGGGAGCTGGGCCTCCCTCCCTCTCTGACACCCCCGTTCACAAGACTCCAGGATGCCCCTGCTGAGGGGCCCGCTGCCAGCAGAGCCTGGGCCCAGCAGAAGCAGGATGGAATCAGTGGCTCTTAGAGTTTAGAAAAAAACAAATTGTAAATCAGTAAAGTTCCAACAAGCACCTCAGCCAATTGCAGGGACAGACTTGGTGTCTGGCCTTTTAACTCCTCCCCTGCCAGGGTGGCCCCCAGGACCTCTAAGGGGGCGTGGTAGCCGCCCATGTCCAGGACTGAGCCATCAGGGACAGACTCCCCACCCCCATGGCTGCAGCCACACACGGTTCCAGACCTGGGGCTGGGGCAGGCTTGGACTCAGCCCTGGATGCCGCAGGGTCGGCCCACCCGGAACTTGCCCTCTCCCCGCCACACCCCCTGAAAGAATGGGCCTGCTGCGCCCCTCTCCCTTCCTCCTCATGCCACACTTGGGGGCCTCTGAGCCTAGGGTGGCTCAGACCCCCACCCCCTAGTCTGCTCCCAGAACGCAGCACAAACTCCCAGCCATGAGCTGGCCTGTTCTCCCCGGGGTCTGGGTGACCTCCATATGCAATCGGTAGCGAACAACTGGGCCCCAGACACTCAGGCACTGTCCGTGCCATTCTCCCGCAACTTTTTGTACTTAACTGTATGAAAGATCCACACTAATACTGCTGTAAAAAGGAGAGACAAATTAATATAGCTTATTCTATAAATATATCTGTATATAAAGGTTTCTGTATATTGTATAGAGCTGTGTATAAACTGCGTGTAGAAGCACGCTGGCTGCCTTGAGTGACCTCTCTTCCCAGCTCAGGGGGCACGGGTTGGGGGGCCTGCTGCTGAGCTCAGGGGTGGGAGGGGCCCCCTGAGACTGGCTCGTGCTGCTGTCGATGCCCTGGTCTAGGACCACACTCTGAGCCGCAGTGAAGAACCAGAAGACCCTCAGAGCCCCACCCAAATGGGGGCAGTCCCTTGTTGAGCCTTGCCCATGTGGAAGGTGTACCGGGAGATCCATGTTCATGACCCCATGATGGCCTTGAAAGATGGGACTTGTTAGTCCCTTTCTCCTCCCTGAGGGGTCTGGGGCACAGAGAGGGCAAGTAAGCTGCCCAAGACCCCAGAGCTAGCATGTGGGGCGCTGATCTGACAGTTCCCACCCTTCCCCCCCCCAATACCTAGAACCAGAGCAGAGGAGCAAGGACTCCCCTAACACCCCCCAGCAGGGTAGCCCTGAAAGGCGGGGGCCACTGGAAACCTTTGCTGAGTGCTTCTTTAGAAGGGTGCAAAAGGCTTGACCAGGCCCACTCAGGGCACCCCAGGGACCCCAGCGCGTGCAGGCTCCAGGACAGTGAGGCCCAGGGGGCTGCTGCAGGCCTTGGGTGGGCGGGGAGCTTTTTGGGCCCCTTCATGCAGCAGGTGGCGCTGTTCCTCCAGCCCCGGGAGATGGCAGCGGTGGGCCCAGACCCTGAACCAGCCAAGTTTTGACTTGACCTTGACCTTCCCCTTCCTCACACTGCCCACCCTCTTACCCCCTCAAGAGTCCCGAGGGACCCTACTTGGTGGCAAGGGGAAGGCGACAGAACAGTGCCTGGTTTCATCCCCAGCCTCTTTGAACAGAAGAGGCTCAAAGAGGCCAAAGACCTGCTTAAGGTGACTCAGGCTGTGGGGACAGCTGCAGGACTAGAATCCGGGCTGCCTGGCTGAAGACTCTGGCCTGATGGTTTTCCGAGGTTCTTCCTCAGAAACTCAGTCTCACCGAGTTTGCAAACTGTCCTGTCCAATTCGTGGATCAGAAGCTGAAGAAAGCCAGGGCCAGAGAGGTTGTGACTTGCCCAGAATGTGTGGGAAAAGGCTCTCACGAGGGCAATTCTGGAAAGGGCTGGAGCAGCGCTGTGCCTCCCAACCCCACGCAAGCCCTGTGGACGGGCCTGTCCACCTCAGCTGGGAGGGAGGTGGGAGGGGGCTTATCCTGCAGGGCTCCCCCCAGCCCTCTCACCCAGGTCCAGAGAAGCAGCACCCCGCCCCCCCCGCCCCGCCTCACTGCCGCTGGGTTCCCACTCAGCACCCCATGGGCCTTCCTCCCTTCCTCTGCAAAAGGGGCAGGTGCCAGGGCTATAGGAGCCCATGGGGGGTCAGGGATCCCACAACAGGGAGGCCTGGCCATCCGGCTAGCTGATGAACCCCACCCTCTCCTGGCCTGGCCTCCAGCCGGGTACTCTGTGCCTCCAGTTACCCTCCTTCCCTGCCTCCCTCTCCCCAGTGCTGCCTCCTGCTGGCCCTGCTGAGTGCCAGGAACTGTCCTGGGATAGAAGAGCAGCACTTATTGATCACTTCCCTGCCATTTTACCTTCGCCGAGAGGCGGGATTAATAGGCTGACTTACAGAGGAGCCCTCCGAGGACGGGAGGGCAGGCCCTGGAGGATGGCTGAGATGACCGCAGGACAGCTGCCCCTGCTCGGCCAGGAAGGAAGTCTTGGTTGTTCACTCCTTATGGCTTGGTGGGGACAGGGTGTAGATGGGGCTCCTCTCTGTGGATGGCCCCCTCAAAGTCCTGGTTATGCACAGTTCCCTTAGGCTCCCTTACCAGCCCTAGCTGCCGCCCTGTCCCAGACAGGCTTCCTTCTGGACTTTGAGGGTGGCAACCTCAGCTTCTGGCTGAGGCCCAGAGTCTGGGACTTTAGCCACTCCTCTCCCCCAACCCAGAGATGGGAACCCCTGGGGGAGTCCCTCCTTTGCTCAGTGGCCTAGTGGAATCAGGGGAGATGGTAGGGCCAGAACATCCTTAGCCAGGCCAGCTCCCACCGGATGAACAGGAAGCTCCGTCCCACCCCATCCAAGTTCAAGGCCACCCCAGAGGCCTAATGATCCAACTTGAGGAGTTGGGGTGTTGGGGACAAAATATGCATGTCCTACTCCTTTGATGATCCACACAGGGGCAATGCTTCACTCATCACCATGGCCCTCAAATGGTGGGCATTTCAGCACCGTGTGGAACCATGGTGGAAAGACCTGTGGGTAGGTGAAGGCTTATAAAGGAGCTCGTTTTCCAGCTGGTTCCGGGCAACTCCTAAAATAAATTCATTAAAAAAAAAAAAAATCACATGGCGTAGGCGGGTGTCTACTTTGTCCACTGGCAGGCCTGACCGGGTGGGGGAGGGGGCAGAGCAGAGAATAACAATTGTCTTAAGGGAGGCTGCGGAGGGTGAAAAAACCTCTGGGGTGTATCAGCGGGAAAAGAATAGGCGTCTCAGTGTGGCCCTCTCCCCCCTTCTCGACCCGGCCCCTGCGGGGGGGAACCTTCAGCACACACAGCTGGGGCCTCCAGCAAAATCCCATTCTATATATGGAGGAGCAACAGCTCGGAGAGCGGCCCTTGGAGGGACAGAACCTCATTGTGAGGCGCCCGCCGGCCTGGGCGCCCCCTCCCCCAGCCCCAGAACTGTTGTGGCATTGACCCTCCTCAGTGGGCCACCACCGGCCTGCTGACTGGGCCACATCTGGGGCTCAGGCACCGGCCACCCCTCCCCCAGGGCTGGCTGCTGAGGAAGGGGAGGGCTGCCTGGGTGGGAGCAGCTTCACAGGCTCTCATCCCCGTGCCCACTGAGCAGCCCAGCTTGCCCCCCATGCTCCTCTGGGGTGGGGGGTACTGGCTGGGCAGTGTGGCCCCCTCCTGCCTGCCAGGGCTGCTATCTCGGTCAGCTGGGGGTCCTCCCACCTCTCTGGGCCTTGCAGTTTCAGTCCTAGTCCTGTCGTCTGTCAAACAGTGGTCGGGTGGGATCAGTTTTCCAGCTCTGACTTGCTTATCTGAGGAGCCTGGGAGGCTGTAGCAGCACCACTCCACAGTGAGATGATTCGCTGG